GACATTAACTTTCACCGTGTAAGTTAAATTTTATTTGTCTTTGTTAACAGTTCAAGACATTAACTTTCACCGTCTTGGTTAAATTTTATTTGTCTTTGTTAACAGTTCAAGACATTAACTTTCACCGTCTAGGTTAAATTTTATTTGTCTTTGTTAACAGTTCAAGACATTAACTTTCACCGTCTTGGTTAAATTTTATTTGTCTTTGTTAACAGTTCAAGACATTAACTTTCATCGTTTAGTTAAATTAAATTTGTCATTGTTAACAGTTCAAGACATTAATTTTCACCGTCTAGGTTAAATTTTATTTGTCTTTGTTAACAGTTCATTAATTTTCACCGTCGAAGTTAAATTCAATTTGTCTTTATTAACATTTCAAGAGATTAGCTTTCATCGTTTAGTTAAATTAAATTTGTCATTGTTAACAGTTCAAGAGATTAGTTTTCATCGTCTAGTTAAATTAAACTTGTCATTGTTAACAGTTGAAGAGATTAGCTTTCATCGTCTAGTTAAATTAAATTTGTCATTGTTAACAGTTCAAGAGATTAGTTTTCATCGTCTAGTTAAATTTACTTTGTCATTGTTAACAGCTCAAGAGATTAGTTTCATCGTCTAGTTAAATTAAATTTGTCATTGTTAACAGTTCAAGAGATTAGCTTTCATCGTCTAGTTAAATTAAACTTGCCATTGTTAACAGTTCAAGAGATTAGTTTCATCGTCTAGTTAAATTAAATTTGTCATTGTTAACAGTTCAAGAGATTAGTTTTCATCGTCTAGTTAAATTAAACTTGTCATTGTTAACAGTTGAAGAGATTAGCTTTCATCGTATAGTTAATACTTTATACTAATGCAATAGTTAGTTAACTTCTATTTGTCACTGTTTTGCTTCTTACTCTTAACTTTTTCGTAAGTTATTTTCCTTTTTTTTTGTTAATAATTAATTAAAAAAACAACGTTAAATTATAAATTTCTGTATTATGTCAGCTCGATTAAGTGCCTCTGATACTCATAGTTAGCTTGAAAGTTGTTTCTTTAGTACCAAGGAATGTCTACGTCATAGTTAATTGTTGTAGCTAAGAAAGCTAGGTTAACTTCTCAACTTAAATATGTTTTTTATGTATTTGTTTCGATTCAAAATTGTATTATTTCTTCTCCAGGATGTACTTTCCCACCCACTTAACACGTCATCACTGGCAGTGTTTACCTCCAACATCGAAGCGATTAATCACGAATTTAAGGTGATTCTCTTCCCACATTCTTTTTTGTTTTATTTAGTTTTACTTCAAATATTAATATTTTTTGAATGACGTTTATATGAATAATTTAAAATTTTATTAGGCGGATTTAAAAGAAATTGAGACAGATATTACAGTTAAACAATATAATAGTTCGTAAGAGATATTGTTCGTGAAGCTTGTGGTTTTGAAATTTATCTCTTTCTAACTCTTTCTAACATGTGAAAAATAATCTAGAAACCATAAGTATCTTATTGAAAATGACCACATCTCAGAACTTATGATAACGAATGAATTAAGGAAAACGTTTAGATGATAGAATATATTGTTATTTACGTATATTAGGATAATATTTCTAAATTATCATACAGTATTAGATTCTAGTTAATCATAACCATGTTTACCGGATGTTGCAAGCTCATAAGCACCTGCTAATCCATTTACACGGGTAAAAGTTACACACTACAACCTTTATTCTTAAATTTCAAGCTAACGTGTTTACGTTTCTGTGTGAACTTTCTACGGAAGTAGCCAATAGAAATGGGTGATACAGAAACCTGTACAAACTAGCATGGGATAGTTAGGATTCTTTATGTAGACATGAAATTGATGTCATATCGATGTGACGCACATTAAATTGTTTGTCTGTTTGACGGTATTTCGCGCAAAGCTACGTGAGGGATATGTGCGCTAGCCGTCCCTAATTTAGTAGTGATAGACTAGAGAAAAGGCAGCTAGTCAACACCAGCCGCCACCAACTCTTAAGCTATTATAACGGATGTTCGGTGATGGAATTTGAATTTGCCGCCCGCAAATTACGAGTCGAGTGCCCTAACCACCAGGCCATGTCAGGCCAACACATTTAACCTAACACGCAATTCAAATATAACACACATTAAATACTCCGCTATACCAATGTGACTCACAGTAAATTTAATATAACATACAAATAAAATACACATTAAGCCTAGTCTACTATATCAATGCGACGCACTTTAAATTTAATGTACCATACAAATAAAATACACATTAAGTTAGTCTACTATATCAATGCGACGCACTTTAAATTTAATGTACCATACAAATAAAATACACATTAAGCCTAGTCTACTATGTCAATGCGACGTACATCAAATTTAATGTACCATACAAATAAAATACACATTAACCTTGTCGCTATATCAATGCGACGCACTTTAAATTTAATGTACCATACAAATAAAATACACATTGAACTACTCTACCATATCAATGTGACACACAGTAAACTAATATTCTATAATAATGTAACATTAAATCTAAAATACTATACAAATAAGATACACATTGAACTGCTCTACCATATCAATGTGACACACAATAAATTTAACATACAATGTAAATAACACATATATTAAACCCAATACACCGTTTAAACGATATATATTAAACTTAAAACGTCATTTAAATACAGTTCGCATCAAATATACAAATTGAATTATATGTGTTTCCTTTACTACGAATTATACTTTTCTCCAGATTATACCAATGAATATGCCAAGAGTTGATGAAGCTCCACCTGGAACAGAGGTGAAAAATCGGTATGCAAATGTCATACCCGGTAAGAGTTACCTTATTTGATATATTTACAGCTTAAGTGTTTGAATTATAAACAAAGCTCAAAAATCATAAATTACAATAGAATTTTCGAGTACGATGGAGCGTATATTAAACTCCAGATAATTAGTTGATTGTAAGTGAGTAGATGTATCCTCGTTTACAGGGCATCAGAAATGCTTGAAATGCTATTAGAGAATATATTTTTTGAAATCCAGCTGATCAAAAGTTAAAGACCAATCATAGAAATGTTAATCTAAAAGTTTCACGACTTACTGTTGAAATCTGAACAAACGAAGTTTTAGTTTCACTACTTACTGTTGAAATCTGAACAAACGAAGTTTTCATATTAGATTACTGTATTGTTTAGTTTCAACAGTAATCTAATATGAAACTTCGTTTGTTCAGATTTCAACAGTAAGTCGCGTTTGTTCAGATTTCAACAGTAAGTCGTGAAACTAAACAATAACTAAAACCTAAGTAATCTAAACAACAGTAAGTCGTGAAACTAAACAATAACGAAAACCTCGTTTGTTCAGATTTAAGTAATCTAATTTGTTTGTTTTTTATTTTTTTGTAGAACAAAGCCACATTGAGTTATCTTCTGTGTCCACCGGGGGATCAAACCCCGTGTTTTAGCGTTATAAATCCTTAGACTTACCGCTGTCCACTGGGGAACAGATTACTTTAAAAAATTAGTTAAATGCATTATCTCAAATAGAAAACTCTACACAACCACTTAGAGAAATATTCTTAACATAAACCTGCGCAACGTAATAATTAGCGACAGAATGTGAATGGTATATATAAGTATACAATACGTATAACGAAGTTAGTTCACAGAATGTGATAATTAGTAACAGAATGTGAATGGTATATAAGTATGGAATACGTATAACAAAGTTAGTTCACAGAATATGATAATTAGTAACAGAATGTGAATGGTATATAAGTATGGAATACCTATAACAAAGTTAGTTCACAGAATATGATAATTAGTAACAGAATGTGAATGGTGTATAAGTATGGAATACGTATAACAAAGTTAGTTCACAGAATATGATAATTAGTAACAGAATGTGAATGGTATATAAGTATGGAATACGTATAACAAAGTTAGTTCACAGAATATGATAATTAGTAACAGAATGTGAATGGTATATAAGTATGGAATACGTATAACAAAGTTAGTTCACAGAATATGATAATTAGCGACAGAATGTGAATGGTATATAAGTATGGAATACGTATAACAAAGTTAGTTCACAGAATATGATAATTAGCGACAGAATGTGAATGGTATATAAGTATGGAATACGTATAATAAAGTTAGTTCACAGAATATGATAATTAGTAACAGAATGTGAATGGTATATAAGTATACAATACGTATAACAAAGTTAGTTCACAGAATATGCGATAGTGAGTGTACTTAAAAAAGTTCGGTATAAAACTTCTGGTCAGAATCTGTGTTATAATAGCGAGAAAGGATGTATATTGTATGGTACAAAGTGAAATGTATGTAACAGGAGACCCATGTGGAATGGTGCACGGTTAGATGTTATGTGGTCGTAGTTACTCTAATAGAATTTGTATGTTAAACAATAGATGGCGTAGTTAACAGAATACATCTTTAGAGAAGGAATAATTAATAGAATGTAAGGTACGTTTTGTGAGTTTTAGAATTATAGGGAATATGGCTGTGCTACAAAGTAATTCAATAGAATATGCGTACCGAAGTAAATACACTGAAGGAAAGATTAGAAAATCCAACCTATTAGCTAGTTGAGTCAGCATGGTATTGAGTCCACGCCTACCTGGAAAATATCTACTTCAATCATTGATCATTTCTTAGTCTGTATCGCTTCCAGACTAGGTGGAATTGACAGTAATGGGCCTTGTCTCCTGATAGACTGTTCCAAACATCCCATGGATTCTCGATGGGATTAAGATGATAAACCAGGCCAGGATAAATGTTGGAAGTGAACCAATCATGAAAGAGTTTATCAGCGTAACTAGCGGTATTATAACCCCTGATGTAACCATCTTCATTTGGTTAAAAGTAGATTATTGCAAGTCCTCCCGGTCAGCTAGAGAGGTCAAATATTCACAGGAAGAGATATGACCATCTCTTGTAAGCGAGTCCACAATATGACACTGTGTCCTGAACTTGGTGACAGCGGAGATTGTTCCATGATTTCATTGGACCGTTCCCAAACTTCAACTTTACCATCATTGCAAAATGATATAAAACATAAGTCATCTGACTACATTACACTCTTTCAATTGGCAACGGTCTAATCCGGATGATCTAAGAACCTCTGGATATGAGCGTTAACGTTTGCTAAAGCTAATTTCTCGCAGCTCCCTAAGAATTGTTCTGGTAGAAACGGGTGTTCCTAGACTTTACTAATGTTATCCATCAGTTCGCGTGCAGTTGAATAACTCGACATTTGCCTCCCACGCCTGTTATATTGATAGCTCTATTTTCCGACCATTGTTTTCTTTATTACAAGGAATTGTTTGATCTGATAACCATGTAATTTAGACTGAGGACACAGATATCAGTGATTTGTCAATCAGCTTGATCACCCTCAGAACTAAGAAATTGCCAATCGAGCCCCAACTTTAACACCTCATTGAAAGCCTGATAAACCTTTCGTGCTTTCAAATATTATAACGAAAACTGATACTCGTATAACTGACCGTTTCTATTTATAGACCCCTGGTAAATTTATTTATTTATCGTGTAAATACCTACTTTGTGCAAACACGAAATGAGATTGGGTTTTGTAATAATTGGGTTAGTGAGTATAAAAACAAATGTAATACAGTGTGGAACAGAGCTACTGAACATATTATATCGTTATTAATTACTAAACAGAAAATGTGATACAGTGAGGCATAGACTTCGTGATTTTATATTAAATAATATGTAGATATAACTTGAATCATGCATAGGTAATGAAAATAATGTGAGGTATTGAATACTAGACACAACATGTTAGGTGCTGAATTAGCGAACACAAGGTGTGCTATAGGATTAATGGACGCGATGTTAGGTGCTGAATTAGCGAACATAAGGTGTACTATAGGATTAATGGACGCGATGTTAGGTGCTGAATTAGCGAACACAAAGTGTGCTATAGGATTAATGGACACGATGTTAGGTGCTGAATTATCGAACACAAGGTGTGCTATAGGATTAATGGACACGATGTTAGGTGCTGAATTATCGAACACAAGGTGTGCTATAGGATTAATGGACTCGATGTTAGGTGCTGAATTAGCGAACACAAGGTGTAGTATAGGATTAATGGACTCGATGTTCGGTGCTGAATTAGCGAACACAAGGTGTGCTATAGGATTAATGGACTCGATGTTAGGTGCTAAATTAGCGAACACAAGGTGTGCTATAGGATTAATGGACGCAATGTTAGGTGCTGGACCAATATTTGGTGTGGAATTTAAAATAGCTGGACGCGATGTTAGGTGCTGAATCGATATTTGGTGTAAAATATAAAATAGCTGGACGCGATGTTAGGTGCTGGATCACTATTTGGTGTGGAATTTAAAATAGCTGGATGCGATGTTAGGTGCTGGATCACTATTTGGTGTGGAATATAAAATAGCTGGATGCGATGTTAGGTGCTGGATCACT